GAGAGGCTTACAGGGGAAATGGTGTTGTAGGGGGATAGAGGTGGGTTCTAGTTAAACCATGGTGGTGGGGAAGTTCAACATGAAAGGAAGGATGGGGTGGGTTGTTACACATGTAATGAAAGAGAAATCTTAAAATATTTACATATTTTAATATTTAAAAGGTGATCTTTGAAGACAAAAGGATGGCATGATTTGAAACCAAGGTATTTATTCAACATGTATTTACTGAACGGCTACTATGTATACCATTCTGGGATTCAGGGATAGATCTTATACTCTAAAAAAAGATAATGGGCAAAATAAAAAGTTATAAGCATTTTTTTCCCAATGTGTGGAAAAAGAAATAGCACAGGGAAGGCATTCTAGGTGGGAAGGATGAGTCAATTTTCTCTTGGTGAAAAATCGAAGGATGATTCAATTTTCACCAAGTGAAAAAAGAAGGTGATGTTTAAATATACACTTGAAGAAGATGAGTGAGCAAGCTGATGGGATAATGCCAGAAGGCTTTAAACAAAACACAGTTTGACTGAAATTTTATAAGGGTCATTGACTACCGTGATGGAAACGATGGACAGGGAAGGAAGGGCACAAGGGTAGAAGCAAAGAGACCAATTAGGAAGCTACTGAAATACAGCAGATAAAAATTAAAGTAACCTTCAACTAGGTGATAGCAACAGAGGAGGTAATCAACAGCCTCGGGTATCCACTAAACTCAATGTGAGATGAGAGAAACAGGAGGAAGTCAGGGATAGCTCTAGAGTTTTGGCCTCAGGAACAGAACAGGAAGGATGGACTTGCCACTAACTCAGAGAAGACAAGGGGTAGCACAGTTTGGGGGGAAATATTTAGAGTTCAATTTTATACACATTAGGGTTAAGGTAGGCAAGTCTGATGTCAAGTAGGCAACTGGGTATTGAGCTTGAAAGAGACCAAGGTCCAGGTCAAGCTGACTTTGAGAGTCTCCAGAACAATCATGAGACTGGAAGAGATCAGCAAGTAAGGAACACAGAAAGTCCAAGAACAAGTCCTGGGGCACACCACTGTTAAGAAGCTCTACAGAATGAGGAAAATCAGCAAAGGAGGGCCAAAATGTCAAGAAGAAAACAAGATCCCCAGAAGCCAGATAAAGAAATGGTTTCAAGAAGAGTACAATTCATCTGATAGTAAGATGAAGACTGAAAATGCCTTGTGCCCAGTAGGGGTGGTAATCTCAGTGGAGAACACAGATGGGATCTGGGGCCTCTAGGAGGGTTGGCCTTTGAGAGCCATGTGCTTAGATCATCTGATAGCAACTAAGGGAGACTACATGAGTAAAGATATTGGAAGGAGGATGTGGAAGTTCTTTTCTAATAGCTTCAGTGCTTTCAGCGAAATAGAAATATGGTTATCAGCTGACAGTGAAGTTGGCAAGGACACTTTGAGACTTTAAGAAGATTTGAGAGAGGAGCATGGGGAGTCATAGGACTAAGGACATGATTGCTGAGAAGCATCATACCTTAGTTAAGATTCATGGCCATCAATTTAAACTACAATTTTCTTTCCTCAAAACAGCTACTGCTCATTCTCTTGCACCTGCATCAATGAAGATTGAACTGCTATAAGAATTTACCTATATTTTTATAGACTTTCAAATACAGAAGCTCTATGAAATGACTTATGGCAAAGTACCTTTTTAAAATCGGTTTATTAAAAGAAGTTAAATAATCCTTATTGCCCAAAGAATAATCTGGAAGATAAACTTCAGAGGAAGGTAACAGAGATCATATGCAAAAATCTTATCTATTGGATAGAGTCCATGGGGTCTGTCTTCTTTCTGGCCCCAAATAAACCTTGATGACTTCCCTGAACATGCTTCAAGGTAGACTATCTCCTGTCTTTATGCTCACTTCACAGATATGCAAAATCATAAATCAAAGGTGTTTTGCACTGCCGTGAAACTTAAAGAATGGTGAGTCTACTTTACCTTAGTCAGAAAACTAAGATTCTAATCCTTTCTAAGCTGTAAAAACAAAATACCTTCCCTCCCCCACCCACCTGCAGATCTGTGTTGTCTTCCCTCTTTCATGGGCAAAGTGTTTATTATCAAATTTACCAAAATAAGATAAAAATCCATAACCTAAGCCCCTAATTATTATTACAATCTTCCGAGAAATTCATAGAATTGCACTCTGGTAATAACTGTTTTATATTTAACTTCATCATAAAGTGAAAGCACCATATAGCCTGCTTCATGCAATAAGCACAAATCAAAATACTCAATGTTTTAACTTGTAATGTGTTTTAAATTTCCATTGTCTTACAGTAAAAAGTAAATGTTTTGTTATTTCTCCATCAGCATCTATTATACAAGTCTAAATTTTTTAAAAAGTAGAAATAACCGAAATGTATTGTTCCACAATAGCATAAAGGGAAAGAAAATATTGAGAACAAGAATCTTGTCAAAATATCCTTTTGGTACCCTCTTCATTAGAAGTATTCAAAGGAGGAAGAAAGCTAGGGAGGATGGCCAATAGGAAAACAATTTCTCCCAAGTTCAAGAGAATGAAAGTAATACAAAAAAACAATTAAGGACACATGAATTTCACATTCTGTAACTTAAAGAGGAATTCATACCATACTGAAAATGAGACCACATATTATACATCATGGGGTTAGATTATTCATCTCGAAACAAGAAAAAGAAAGGATATGCTGAGAATATACATCACTCATCATTATAACAGGGAGTTGCTACTTGACACTTAGAAAGCCTACTTTCTTAGTTTTCTGTTTGTGTCCAGACTTACATTAGCATTACAAAAGTGAAAGAAGTCACTGGGCTAACCATATGTTGCCACATCACCCCCATTACTCAGGCCAATGGTGTGGAACAAAACAAAAGGAGGTTGTCAACCTGGAGCAGAGGCTGTCCTTTCCCAGTCTTGTAAAATAATGCCACTGAGAGCAGAAACATTTTTCAAAGACTTAATAAGCAATAACGCCCATAAGCTCCTGTCAGGTAATCTATCTTTCACTGTCTCACACCATCAGTCTGAAGGCAGAGCGGGGTAGGGTGGGAGGGGGTGAAGGTGTTCTCCCTTCCCCCACTTACCACAAGGCAGCTAGAGCCTGGGATGACACTTGCCTGTTTCCAACAGGGAAAGAGGTCCCCCCACACAGGAGCAGCAGCAGGAGGTAGAAAAGAAAGGAACAGTGTGAAAAGAAATGCAGAACCATGTCTATAATTTTGAAATTTATACCGTGGAGCAGCCTAGTCTCATAAGAAAACAATTACTTTCATTTTTGCCTCCTACTGCCACTTCGACCTTTCCTGGTTGGCAAGTCAGTAGGAGGCAAAAATGAAAGTACCCTTTTTTTTTTTCCTTTGATACAGGACTGTTCAAAACTGTGGGTTTCAAAATCAACATGAACTACCTAATTTTTAGAGGTGTTCTTTTATTGTCTTCATTAGAAACAATATAGTACAACAGTGTGCATATGTGTATAAGACTGGCACCAAGATAATGTCTATATCTACTGGATAAAGGTTATGATAAACTTAATAAAATTTTTGACCATTAACCAAAGCACAGGTAGTCAATTTAAGAAAAACAGTCTTCTTAAAATTAAAATATTAGACTTAACTTTAAGGTAAAAAGTCTCAATTCAAGTCAGGGAATTCAGGTTGGTATAACAAAGAAAAGGAACCTAAAAGTACAATTAAGTAAAGATGTAATTTAAAAATGTTAATTTTAAGGACTTCCTGGTTAGTTTCAATTATGTATTCTTATTGAGCCCTTGCTACATGTGAGAAATGTAGGTAGCATAGGGCAGACAGTCTTCCCTCACGAATTTTTTAACCTAATACAAGAGGTAAGGAAAATGCCCATTAGAAAAAAAAAAAAATTACAAAAAGGTGTCAAAAGTACCAGGAAAGAGATGCAAAGAATAACCAAGTATCCAAGGGAAGAAAGCACATTCAGATCAAGATAAAGCCGCATGGCAGAAGTGGCATTTTAGACGGTCCTTGAAAGATGCACAGGATTTCAAAAACTGGAGGAAAGTGCAAAATTAGAAACATCACAGAAGCAGAAAAGGTAGCTTTTTTGTAGGCAGTGTTTTCTGAAGTGTACTTCTGGGAGAAGTCAATAGATACATTAAAAGAAATGGACTCCATAGATCATACTGGAAACCACTACACCCTATATCACTCTCTTCAAAATTCCCAATGCATATGTGTACAGGAAGGTTTCGAACAGGTACTGCCATAAGCAACTGTTTACCCCCAACCTCCCAACCTATTTGACTACAGATCTCATTTGAAACAACATCTTATCAATTCCTCAAACACCTTCAGAAATACCATCTGAGCAAAACGAGGACAAGGCCAGGAGAGTATATCTGAGACCTACTACAGAATGCCTTTAACACCAAGCTGATAAACAGTCTTTATGAAAGACAATAAAAATGATGTGCTAGCCCCGCACAGGGATGTTAATTTTAAACATATCGTTACATACTGAGCTTTATGACAGGCATTAATAACAAATGGTAAATTTCAATAGTGTATATACATTTGTTACTGAAATATTCTTTCCATTTTACAAAAAACAAGGAACTACTTAAAAAGAGAAATAAATTATTACTATTGACAGAGAAAAACAATAATAGAAGTTGTGGGCAAGGTAGATCAGCCACCAAAGCAGAAGCAGGTTAAAAAAGGATAGCAGGCACTCCAGACAGTCTCATTTTTTCCCCTTTCCCCTCCCCAGGCCTACTAGCCACACTTAAGGCCTGTACATCATTCAAATAAAGGTAAAAGATAAAGCTGCTCTTTGGTTTCCATATGTACATGGGAAGCAAGTATGACAATACATTTTAAAGCAAATAATTCTTACAAAAATTTAGAAATTCAAAATTAGCATTTTGGGCTACTTCCTAAAGTAAATGTACCATCTTTTTCTTCACACATATTTAATACAGATAGGTATGCATACGCCCACTTAAATTGAATAAATTACCTGTGGTTGAAACTGAGGAACAGGTGGCCCTTGCATTCCTTGTGATTGCTCATCCATTGTCTGAAGCAATAGGAATTTCAGAACTCTGGGGAAAAAAAAAGTGTAAAGTTGAAACTTACATAATGTAAGCATTACCAATTCATGTCAATCATATGCCTGACACAAGCATTCAAATGACAGATTCGCGTGATACTTCAAAAATTAAGAGACCCTGTGCTCTCATTTCTGCCATTTGCTAATCCAAGCTGCTTAGCTCACGCAAATATTTAGTCTCAACCACATCTGCTTCTCTCAAGTAGTATTGTTTACAAAATATTCTCTTCTGCAGTCCACTAAGGTGATAGATCTGTAAGTAGATCTATGACACTTCCTTTTACCCTACACATTATTACAATATCATGCTAAGCTTCTTATAATCATGCTAATATCTGATATCCCTAATAAGGCAATTTATATTCTAAAAACATTAGGTTTAAACTTACAAGGCCAATCTTTATATGATTTTTATGTAGACTATGTATACGTTTTATGTATACTTTTATAATTATAAACAAACATTCACCCATTAATTCATTAAACCTATGCTAAAGACCAATGATATGTCAAGTACCTCCCCAAAACAATCAGAAACCTGCCAGATGAGGTGGCACATGCCTGTAATCCCAACAACTCAGGAGCCTGTGGCAGGAGGATAGCGAGTTCAAAGTCAGCCTCAACAACCACAAGGCACTAAGGAACTTCAGCAAGACCTTGTCTCTAAATAAAATAGGACTGGGAATGTGGCTTGCATCCTCAAGTTCAATCCCTGGTACCAAAAAGAAAAAATTTTCACTTTCAATCTACTGATTATTCACATATTTTTCCTCATTATTTCCTGTTTTATATTTTTAATACTGCTACATATTGTGAATTGTTCTCAATTTTCTAATTACTGTTAGTAACCAATTTCTGTATATTAACCTTTTGTTTTCTCACTGTCTTAGTTCAAGTAGCTTATTCAATTGATTCTTGCCTTACTGCAATGGCAAGAACCTTCAGTACAATGAATAGAAGACATCTTTTTGTCCCTCATCTTGGGGCAAAAGTATTCAATCTTCTACCATTAAGTATAATTTTGGCTTCCATTTTTCATTGATGCCCTGATTCAAAAGGTTGACAATTCCCTTCTATTCTCCAAAAGACTAGATTTTTGTCAAATGGTTGTTTCTGCTGAGAGGCATAAGGTTTTCTACCTTACTTTGTTAAAATTTTTAATTATGTTGATTCGTTTTTGAACGTTAAATCAGTATTGTGGGAAGTCATCCTGACACGTGACTGGGCGGCTCCCGTTAAGGGTCTGAGGCTTCTGGCTGTGTCGGAATTTTCCCGGCCCTTTCCTGATGAGAGAACCCGTCCGTGTGGGGATGTGACTGACCACTGACCCCGGGGGCCCAATCACTGACCCTGACCTTGGAGTGCAGTCCCCCCTCAACCTTCATTGGATGGAATTATCCCCTGAATTTCTTGTTCCCCAATAAAAGGCTACTCCCTGGCGTGTTCACTCTCTCTCTCTCCTGCTAGCCCTGAGTAATCCTTGCTGCCCTGCTGGGCGGTTAGAGGTTGGAGCCAGAGAGGGGAGCCGTCTCGGACCTGGCAATAGAAATAAGGTAACTGAGTCTGTGTGTTTTATTTCGATCTCTTCTAACTAACTTTATGCCAAGAACCTCATTAATGAAACCATTGCGCAGGCCGAATGGTGGACAGTATGTTTTTTGAAATTATTTCATTCGCAGGAAAATGTATAGAACTTGAAACCACTGTGTTCAGCAAAATAAGCAAGCTCTGAAGATTAAGGGTCATATGTTTTCTTCCGTTTGTGGGCACCAGAGAGGAAAAAAGAAAAGGTGGGGGTGATCATATGAAAAGCCAAGGGTAATCAACAGAATAGAGGAAAGGGACAAGGAAATGGGAGAAAGAAAGGGAAGGGTAAGTGATGTGGAAGGATACAGGGCAAATTATATTCTTATACATTGTAAATATACTAATACGCAACAGTAAAAACTATAGAGGAAAAAACATTCGTTTTGGGAATGAACTCTTTGGGTATGACAAAGGTTTCTTGGTCAAAGACTTCAGGGAAATAAATATTACCTGTTGTATGAATCTCTTAGAGACAGTAAATATACTGAAGAATTCAAGCAGACCTGTAATTTTTTTTGATATATTTTTAGTTGTTGATGTAAGTAAATAAAACAGAGGTCTACATGGTGCTGACAATCAAACCCAGTTTCTCACACACGTGAGGCAAGTGCTCTACTGCTGAGCCATAGCCCCAGCCCTGCAATTTTTAGTAACATTTAACTAATGAAATACATTGTGTAACATTAAGTATTCCACAACTTGATACCAGGAACACAAAATTCTGTGCTATATCTGTGTGGTTTTAGCATACCTACTAATATTTGACAATGGCTACACAGAAATTATTAAAAGCTAAAGAAAAAGAAGTGTAGAACACAAAGAAACCTAAAGTGATATAACCTAACTATTCACGTAACAGAAATAATTTCAATAGCATCCTGGACAGAAGGTCAAAGAGCTTCTGCTTAGAAAATAAAAATCTGCATAAAATTCTCATGTTGAATGTAAACTAATGAATAAAAATAACAAAACTGTGTAATACTTAAAATGGTTCCATGTGCACTGTATTCTTAATGCTATTTAATCCTACATAAATGAAGTAAAAATACATTTTAATATGTAAAATACTTTAAATATCTATTACCTCCTAGGTTATAAATTTTAAGTTTCAGGGACCTATGTCTATAGGTGTATTTCCAATGACTGGCATATATAGTTGGCTAAATGGATATTTGTTTCATGAATGCATATATGCCTTTCACAAAAACAATTCTTGCTACGAAGTATGAAGTCAATGACATAAAAACCATCATCAAGTTCAACGAAGTTCAAATTCACCAAATCTTCAAGCCAAAAAAAAAAAAGGCTGCCTTGAGAAGGTGCTGCCTGCCGTAAGTTTTAAATAATAAACAGGAAAAGTTAACGATGCATGGATAACCTGTGGAAGACAGGATTCTAGAAAGAGCACAAAGAACTCTAAAGCATAGCACAATATCATAAGTAATTTCAAATTATAGTTCGTGGCTGGTGGAGAATTAGCAGTAAAAATATTGCAGTAAAAACAAACAGGTGTCAGTTCATGAAAAAAAATTATGTTTATCCAGTTGATATAAGGGAGCTAATGCTAGGTTTTAAAAAACTGAGAAAGTTGACTTTATGAAAGATAATAGTGAGACAGAGGATAGAGGACGCAACTGAAAGCAAGGAAACTTAACAAGCTACAGCAACAGTTCTTTCTAATGGGCCAGTGAGGACCATCACACCAAGGTTCTCCGGTTTATTCTCCATAGCTTTCAACACAACCAAATAGCCCACTTGCCAAAATGTACTATGATCCACATCCCCCTAGCCTTCCCTCTGTAATACATCTATTCCAAGTTCCCTTTTCTATCTGAAGCTCATACGTGTTTAAGTGTTCTAAGACTTTAATCTCCCCCCCCCCCCACACACACACACTCTATACCCTCTCCTCAAACCATCCAATTTCAGGGCTTTTCCATACTATTCATATTTAATTACTCTGAAACATACATCTTTACCATAAGTATCTGTACTAAGCTCTCAGTTACAAATGCCTCAATTCAACTGCCCACCTGGCATTTCTACCTGAATAGAGGATTCAATCACGTCCCTTCAAAACCCAATTATTTTTTCTCTTTACATGTTATACTCAGCTGGTCCAGACACACAATTCTCAAAACTCCTGGGATACTGGACTTCTTTAACCTGAGGATACTAAAACTCTTTGGCTAATATGGATTATATAGCTCTATATTCCTTATGTTAGAAGTTAAAAAAAATAGTGTATCTTTAAAATTTGTTTTACAAATTATATATTTATACATAGCATCTTATGAAAACGAGCTATATTTTTCAAAACATTCAAAAAAATTAGAAAAGAAGCATTTGCAAGGTTCTTCTATTTCTATCCTCACAGAGGCAGGTTCTGCAGCCAATCTGCTACATACTTGGGTTGAAGTTTGTAAAAAGTCTGGCTTTGTACGAATGTATAGTTGGAAAAGAGTGGCTATTAAAATACTTTTCTCATGTCATTGTGGATAGTCTGACACTGCAGCAAACATGGCAGACGGTAGATCACTAAAGGGTAACTGCAATGTGGACTTCTGAATCATATTGATGAAATTTCTTACTCTTAAAGCTCGATAGTCTACATCGTCCATCGAGTAGATCTTTTACTCATACATGATTTATGCCTTCCGTCATCCAGAAATATTTAGTTTACGAAGTTATTAAGCCCTTTTAAATTCTGGCCATTTATTTACACCATATTAGAACTCACATCCATTACCACTAACCTTATCATAAAGGTCTTTAAGTACCTAGATGATATCACAGTCACAGTAAAGAACACAAATTTTCCAAAATTGTAATTTTCAATGTGGAAGTTCAGATCTCTTCACTGGTACAAATCATTTCAGTGGTTCTTCTTTAAAACAGTTTTTAAAAAATGGTGTCCACAAAAAACGGAAGTTACTCAGCATGCTTTTCAAATACCTTACAAATGCTTTTCCTTGACATGACCAATTTGCTGCCATACTACTTTAAACATGCTTCCCATTTTATCACATTTATATATTGTTGAAAGACTCCAAGGTTGATGTTTGATAATACTCTTTTATCACATCACCCAGGACTTTTGGGCGGCAGGGGATGTTGAAGATCCAACGCAGGGCCTCATGCGTACCAGGCAAGTGCTCTACACTGAGCTACACTCCCCAGCCTCCTTCAAAGGTGTTTTTAAAAGATACTTGTAGAATAAAAATCCAAGTTTCAAACAGGTGAAGAATAATAGTTTGGGGGCTGGGGTTGTGGCTCAATGGTAGAGCACTCAACCTCGGAAATGCGAGGTGCTGGGCTCGATCCTCAGCACCACATAAAAATAAGTAAATATTGTATCAACTAAAAAAAAAAATTTGGTGTCACCACACTGATTCAAGCTAACAC